ATATCATCAAAATCATTTTCTCCACACTTGTGGAACAACTCCATCTTCCTGTAAAATGATGGATAACTAATTAAACATCATAACTGAATTAATTACTATTGATAACTAATAATATACAACAAATATATGATTGTATTGAAAAATGGTTGCCAGTTTTATGTTAACCACTTATTTCAGTAGTTAAATCAAATAAGTTTTCAATATCATTGACCCAATGATGAGTAGTTAACTTAATAAAATGGTAGTAAGGATTACTAAATACATTACCACCTTAAATCAGCCTCATGCATCTCTTCAGGAAGCAATGGAGTCAAGGCAAAAGTTGGCTTGTCTTTGAACTTCACAAGTGATAATATCTGCATAAAGGAAACCATGTGCTTGGAAAGACCCTTAGACTGCTTTCGGACCATGATAATTTTGTGAATTTGCTCATTGCAACTCCAAGAACCAGGATTGGCAAACAATTCCTCAATCCGAGCCATGCAAAAAGATTTGCCTATACACCAGCAATATTTCAGGTCAAATATACTATATATAAACGGCAAAATAATATTGACACAGTATAGATGATATAGAAATGACCATGAACATTATTAGTCAAGTAAAATGTAACTTCATACTTACCACCCAGCCTGGCATCAGGATTCTCAGAATCAGATAAAACAAGACTGATAATAATTTTTTCCATTAAAGATAGCTTCAATCCGTTGCATAAACTTTCTAAAAGGCTTTCATTAGTTTCTTTATTCTTCATTGACTCAGAAAACTCTTTGCTGCAGGTTATTTGGTTCATGAGGTAAGGACCGCCCCTAGAATTAGCTCATGCTCTTCCATGTTTTTAGCAGCAGAACTCATCCCAATTCAGAGAACTGTCAGTAGAAAATGTTAAAATAGTGCATAGCCTAAGTCAACCCTACAAAACCGGCTTGTAAAGTGAGGGTTGCTTTCCACTTATATACTAATCAATTGTCTAATCTCTAGTCGATGTGGGACTTGGGTTTTTCCCAATACACTCCCTCACGTCCAGTACTATTGGGCTTAGTACGTGGATAAATGGTGGGTGACCCTTTTTAATGATCTAGGATTGGCGGGACTTGGGTTTATCCCAATACACCCCCTCATGTGAGGCATGCATCAATGGTGGGTGGCCCATTTTTAAAGTGGATCTAAATGGCTCTGATACCATGTTAGAATAGTGGATTAAGCCTAACTCAACCCTACAAACACGGCTTAGGTGGAAAAGCTAAGAAACCAGTAACATTTGCGGTTCTAGAAGTAGAAGTAAGAGATGGTGCTGGAATACGTACTTGGACTCCAGAAAATTGAGCAGGTAAAGATGCTGGCACAGACAATTCGGATAACACTGATTCAAGTGAATTGAAATTTGAGGAGCTTGGAGTTGCTTTAGCCCCAGGAGCAACATCAAAAGAGGCCCAATTGTCATTGCCGGAATTTGCTGGTTGCACAACAGGTTGCGGCACAGTAGATTGTTGGGCTTGAGGAATTGATGGAGCCACCGGAAGTTCAGGATCAACATCAAAATCAATAAGGCTCTTAGTCGTCTCAAGTTTAACATCTACTAGGTTTTCGTTGACAGATGTTAAGTTACTGGAAGATGCAGTTCTCTGTTTCAATGCTGAACTATCAGCAGGTCTTCCACTGTTTGATTTGGGTGGTTCACTTATCCGAAGAGGTACTACATTTTCTCCCAATATTTCTCTAATAGATCGGACCACTGGTGGGCTTGAAGAACTCACATCTTTGGCTCGCTCAGGAGATTGTCTTTCCACCTTATAATCTCCATCTGATATTCTACGATCTTCACGGCGCCAATCATTAATTATTGGAGGACGACCAAGACTTCTCCTATAATCACCATATTGCCTACTTTCTTGATCATATCCAGGACTTCTTCCACCTGGACTAGATCTGTCACTATAACGACGTTCATATGCATCCTCATAGGGAGGGCTTTTAGATCCTCCTCCTTTATAGAAATCATCTTTGTCAACTGCTTTGACTCTTGGTGGTTTGTCACTGGGCTTTTCTCCAATAAATCTTCTATCCACATAAACATGCTTAATAAAGTCTCAGAGCCTGTCAACATTACTGCTATCGGGGAAAGAATGACGCTGTGCATTCCATTCTTTAAAATATATTTCTTTTGCACGCTGATTTCCTCCTTCTTGAAGTGCACTAACTTCTTGTGAAGTAAACTTAGCCATTGAAACTGACTTTACTCGATGATTGAATTCCCGATGTATTCCACTACAGTTTGTGCAAACAAACGTCCAGAAATTTGTGCACACATATTGTGGTCCCAGACTGTTGCAGTTAATGCATCTGCGATTAGGTTGAAGCTTGAGAAGACCTCGAATCACGTGCTCATTCTTCTCGTCTTCCTTCAGGCGACTCGCCATCTCCTCCGCTACTTCAATTCCGCAGTACAAAGAAAACAGTTGGGGGACTTGAATTGAAGAGAGGAGAGAGATGAAGCAGTCACGCACCAAAACAAAGAGTGGAAGACCTGCTGATAGTTCAGCATTGACACAGAGAACTGCATCTTCCAGTAACTTAACATCTGTCAACGAAAACCCAGTAGATGTTAAACTTGAGACGACTAAGAGCCTTATTGATTTTGATGCTGATCCTGAACTTCTGGTAGCTCCATCAATTCCTCAAGCCCAACAATCTACTGTGCCGCAACCTGTTGTGCAACGAACAAATTCCGGCAATGACAATTGGGCCTCTTTTGATGTTGCTCCTGGGCTAAAGCAACTCTAAGCTCCTCAAATTTCAATTCACTTGAATCAGTGTTATCCGAATTATCTGTGCCAGCATCTTTACCTGCTCAATTTTCTGAGTCCAAGTACCTATTCCAGAACCATCTCTTACTTCTACTTCTGGAGCTGCAAATGTTACTGGTTTCTCAGCTTTTTCACCCAAGCGGTTTTGTAGGGTTGAATTAGGCTTAATCCACTATTCTAACATGGTACCAGAGCCATAAGTTTGTGCACACATATTGTGGTCCCAGACTGTTGCAGTTAATGCATCTGCGATTAGGTTGAAGCTTGAGAAGACCTCGAATCACGCGCTCATTCTTCTCGTCTTCCTTTAGGCGACTCGCCATCTCTTCCGCTACTTCAATTTCGCAGTACAGAGGATCAACAGAAGAATCCGAGGATCAACAGGTGTACTGGGGAATTGAAGTAGCGGAGGAGATGGCGAGTCGCTTGAAGGAAGACGAGAAGAACGAGCGCGTGATTCAAGGTCTTCTCAAGCTTCAACCTAATCGCAGATGCATTAACTGCAACAGTCTGGGACCACAATATGTGTGCACAAATTTCTGGCTCTGATACCATGTTAGAATAGTGGATTAAGCCTAACTCAACCCTACAAAATTGGCTTGGGTGGGAAAGCTGAGAAACCAGTAACATTTGCGGCTCCAGAAGTAGAAGTAAGAGATGGTGCTGGAATACGTACTTAGACTCCAGAAAAGTGAGCAGGTAAAGATGCTGGCACAGACAATTCGGATAACAATGATTCAAGTGAATTGAAATTTGAGGAGCTTGGAGTTGCTTTAGCCCCAGGAGTAACATCAAAAGAGGTCCAATTGTCATTGCCGGAATTTGCTGGTTGCACAACAGGTTGCAGAACAGTAGATTGTTGGGCTTGAGGAATTGATGGAGCTACCAGAAGTTCAGGATCAACATCAAAATCAATAAGGCTCTTAGTCGTGCCAAGTTTAACATCTACTGGGTTTTCGTTGACAGATGTTAAGTTACTGGAAGATGCAGTTCCCTGTGTCAATGTTGAACTATCAATAGGTCTTCCACTCTTTGTTTTGGTGCAATACTGCTTCCTCTCTCTCCTATCTTCAATTCAAGTCCCCCAACTGTTTTCTCTGTACTGCGGAATTGAAGTAGCGGAGGAGATGGCGAGTCGCCTGAAGGAAGATGAGAAGAATGAGCGCGTGATTCGAGGTCTTCTCAAGCTTGAACCTAATCGCAGATGCATTAACTGCAACAATCTGGGACCACAATATGTGTGCACAAATTTCTGGATGTTTGTTTGCACGAACTGTAGTGGAATACATCAGAAATTCACTCATCGAGTAAAGTAAGTTTCAATGGCTAAGTTTACTTCACAAGAAGTTAGTGCACTTCAAGAAGGAGGAAATCAGCGTGCAAAATAAATATATTTTAAAGCCAAAAAATGACAGAGAAAAATATTATAATATCTCGAATGCATCATCACCCATAAAAGTTGCTGAAAGTAGGATTGATAAGGATGTGGAACAAGCTAGTGGGATGGATCCATTAATAGTCACTTTCAATAGCTTAACTAGGATGATCAAGCAATATCTTTCTACTTTCACTTTGACTGTTCACTCTTGAAGGAATTTGATGCGCATTAGTTGACCATGTTTGTTGATTATTATCAATAACTATTGGAAGTCCTGATGGAGAAAGTGTGAACTTCAATTTAGGATATTTATCCACTATCATCTTGGCTAAGCTATTAAAATTGACTATTAATGGATCCATCCCGCTAACTTGTTCCGCATCCTTATCAATCCTACTTTCAACAACTTTTATGGGAGATTACGCATCCGAGATATTATAGTATTTTTCTATGTCATTTTTTGGCTGAGATATTTGATGAGCACTTATACTATAATTATAAAATAATATTAGAGAATTTAATTAAAAATCACATAAAATAATGAAATTAAATAATGGATTTTAAATGAAAGAACCTAGAAGAAATATAAACCATTTCTTGAAACCGTTTTGTTGTTTTCTTCATCTCCTTCCGAGCAATTGGTTGTATCCTAGTTGATTTGTTTGTTGACTGATTACCTTTGTTTCTTCTTGCCATTCTTTTGAGAGACGTTTTTGGAAAGGAATTTGATGACAAAATGAGCTCTATATAGAAACATAAGATAGTCTTAATGAGAGTCAGAACACATAATTGAATGATAAACATTGAACCACATAATTACAATCATAAATTATACCTTAGATGTAAATGGAATAATAACGAACATTAGCCCCTTCTCATATGCCTACAATATGGAAAACAATTTGATAAGAAAATGACCAATTTAAGGGCCATCTGCACCTGAAATATATTCAATTTGGAAATTACCTCTATAATCAAAGACTTTGGGTCTATTTCCCGAGCCATCAAAACCTTATTAATGCCAATTGTTAACTTCCCTAGCCAGCTCCCCAAATTTTTAAGCAAAGAGCGTTCTTCTAAACTTGATTTTAAGAGCTCTGATCCTAAAAGAGCCTGAAGAATATTCAAACACCAAATATTATTTCATATTATTGAGACAACTTGTCACTTCAATCAAGCAGGGAACAGAAACAAGGCTCAAACCTTGCAATTTTCGTAAGTTGCCTGCACAATCTCTTTGTTTAAAGCCTTTGAATTAACCTTATCCAGGAATTTCAGGTACAAGTCATGGAAATTTGGCTCAATGCTTGCTCTAGAAATAAATAACAAATGATATAAGTGAAGGTACCAATATATATAGCATGCCCCATATCTCTACATGGATGCAACTGTTTTAAGCAATTACATGGTACATGACTTGACTTATGAATCATGCTAACCTTTTCATAACCATATACTGTGCAAACCAAGGATAGTACTGCTCTTTCAAAATATACGTGTCTCGTCAAGATTCCATAGCATAATCCTGCAAATGAATTACATAAATTAAAATCTAGCAAAAAAAACAGAGTACAAGCTTGTCTGTTAAGGCTTCCGGTTAAAACAACTACTACAGACATATCTATATACGTTACCTAGCAACAAAATCCAGCAGTTAAAAAGATATTAACGCACTTAAAAAAATGTGACAATATTATATACCATAACATCCTGATATGTTTGTAGAGTAGATTAAATTAGGAATTACAACAAATGGAATTGCAAAATCAAGCAGTTAGAATCTCAGCTTCACTGATATGTATGTAAACCTTTAAAACAAGCTCCTTGGTTGTTGTTGTTGATAAGGAAACAATACTCTGCTCATTACTAGACACTGTCTCTTTGATAGCTCTGTCCATTGCAATGGATACCGCTCTGTAATAAACAAATAGTAACTCAGTCATATAGATTCAAACAGGAAGCAGAACACCATACTGAGAGCATCATACATTTGCATCCCAAAAACACTGAGCTTTTGCTTGATAATAACGTCTGTCCAAAAGTTAGGTATCTGTGTTGGAAGCTGTAAACACAAGTTGTAGTCAGTTATACTTCAAAACTTAAAATAGCATCTGAGCATAGAACCGACACAGACACCCGACACTTTGACACAATTAATGTCTAAAATATAGGACACCAAACACCACATACACATACCAAAAGAGAGAGACTCTAATACAATAAAATATAACATAACAAAATATCTAAATTGATGACATATTCACCTTTTTAAACCAACCTTCTATGTTTTTTCTATGACAAGCCTAAACGAAGGCGAGACATTATTTTTTTAAGATTTCATATTATATTCTAAGGTTATTGACAGGTCTAAATCAAAAAAAGAATTTTTTAATAATACCAGTGGATGTCCATTCATAAGAAGGTGTCAGCTCAAGTGTTCGAGTTGGGCAGAGGTGTCACCTTAAGTGTTCAAGCCAACAAAAAAAAAAATTTTAATTGGACACCTGATAAGTGTCGGACATGTGTTGAGCAAGTGTTAGAGTGTCAATATCAGAAACATGCTCAACACAGCGACATTTCGAACAAAAGAGGTATTCGTGTTTCATAGCATCAAGCTAAATATGGCTCCATGAACAAGAGAGGTATTCGGGTTTCATAGCATTGAGCTAAATATGGCTCCAATTGGCATGTATCTTCACTAAGTGACTTACCTGTACTAAATTTCTGGATCTTATTGTCAAAATGGGAATGATTGATATTCATTTACCAACTCGAGAAAAAGTTTGTCAAAATGGGAATGAGAAGTTTGTTTGACATCCTTCATATCGACTGTAACCGGGATCACGACGGGATGACGCTAACTTTTCTTTTCAATGGAGCCGCCACCAATATTTTATTTTAAGGGAAAAAAACATTGGAAAACCCTTTAAAAGATAATCTTTAAAATCAGAGTTGGGTTCGGGAGTCGATTACGTGTAAGGAAGGTATTAGCGCCCTACGACGCCTGT